GAACCGGCAACCTTGCTGCAAGGCAACGGTGCTAACCACCGAGACACCTTGCAGCCCCATCACTCATTGTTACCAATTCAAAGTTTATTTAAATTATATACAAATATTTGCAGTCTACCCATGTTTCTATAATACTAAAGCTTTATTGTTACAGAAACGCAGTCTATTTTTGTTTCCACATCATATGTAACAACTTTCTTACCTCTTGCAAGTCCTCTTCCAGCTGTTTTTTCAATAACTCCTCTTGTTGCTGTGTTTTCTGTTCCTAAATACATAAAAAGTCACATTATGATTAAGGAGATTTTATTTAGTCTCACAGTTGTTTACTATAAAAATTGTTTTCTTACAGATTATTTTTGCATCTATTTCATACCATACTGTCCTGCAACATTTTTACACTTCTGAACAAACTGCTGGCTCATTCCACAAACAGCACACAGAGCTTAAGTTTGTGTGGTATTGGGAAGAAGGGTACTGTGACTGTTCATGCATGCAGTCTTTTTTGTAAATGTAACACAGACTGTTAAAGTCTGACATCCAGAAAGAGCTACAACTTCTGGGCATTTATGACACAGCAAAGGCAACATGAACCCTTGACACCAAAATCGATTAAAAGACAAAGTACTTGACAGTTCAGAACTTTAAAGGCCAATTCATACTTTCCATGTCTGCTTGTTTGTAACGGTATGCGTGACCTAAATTTCATCATCCACTGAAGTGTGTGGGTGTCCCCAAAATTTGTGAATGTGCAGACTGTTGATGCACTGCAAGCACGCCCATTGCACATGACCAAGGAAAACAAATTGTGCTCAAAACATATGCTTGTTTCGAGGACAGACTTTATGAGGAGATTCTCCGTCATCCACACTTTTATAATTCATTGTTAAAAGAAGTGTAGTTGAAGTAGTGGCTGCTGCACTTTGGAGATGCTTTGATTTGTACATGCTCTCCACCGATGGAGCTCAAACACAGTGGAAGTTCTAAGTTCTCCAAAAATTCTGTACTACGTCTGCCCACTGTACTCGACACATCTCAGGAATATTCACTGACAAAGTGCAAAAGCCGAAAGTGTGAGTCCCTGTTACATCCTGTAAAAACTACTGTTATGTGCTGGGGGCACATTTTTTTACCCTTTATTTAGTTTTTCATATTTTCCCCTCCTTTTGTGTTATTGGAGCATGTTTAGTTCATTTTTTTCAGTAATTGATAGAGCCACGGCTCCGCCTATAAATAGGCTGGATTTTTGTTCTCTCGCTCTCTCGCCTCTTGCTCCTGCCTCTCACCTCCCGGCTCCTCCTAGACGCGGCGCGCCTTGGACCGTGCGCGCTCTCGCACCCCAACTGCCACGTTGGCAGCCTGGCTGATGCCGACCTGGCATCTCTTCGTTTTGATTTTTGGATTGTTTGACCCGGCGGGATCGGCCGGCCAGTTTTTCGTTTGTGGACCTTAGGATTGTGGGATTTCTTTTTAGTTCGGTGTTGGCACCGGCTTCGACGGCCCTGTACAGGGTTGGCCCGGTGCCACATCATTTTTGTTTTGTTTGGCCGACCTGCCGGGTCCACCTTTTATTTGACTTTGGTTGTTTGTTTGTTTTTTTTAGGGGCACGGGGAGTTTGGGCAGATTTTCACTTTTCTTTCAAATCGTAAAATACATGAAATTTGAACTACCCAGGTTCCCTGTGTCTCCTTTTAAAATATGTTGGTGCCTTTTTTTTGGGCCGTAACAACTACCCTGTGTGTGTTTCTGTTGGATTTGAAGAGCAATGTGACCATCGGTGCAGACTAGCGTAGACCTAAATATTAGGACCTATGTAGTATATACAGAATCCATGTGCGTCCACGGTCTGCTTTTAAAGCCCGCATTGATCTCTGCACACCATAAGAGGACTGGTTCACTAAAATCCTCTAAAACATTTGATCTCACATTGCAAATGTTACCCAGCCATGCAGAAAAGTTGGCCCCATAATATCTGTGTAAAAATACTATTTGCATGGCTAAATAATTATGAACTGATCCTTTCATAAAATTAACATTTTGTAAATGATGCGATTTAAAATAGTAACCTACATGCCCAAATAAAACAAGTAGAATTCAGAGCTTACAGCAATCTTACATAACATGGACTTAACAAAAGAAAGGCACTATTTGTTAAGCTGTTGTTAAACAAGGATGCCGTACGTTTAAAAGATGGAACAGGAAATACCCTCTCACCTCTAGCTGTCTCTTAGTTTCACTGAAGGACTTCTCTAACGTCTCCATCCTGTGCATTTTGGCTCTGATCACCTCTAGCTGACCCTGCAGCTCCCTGACCTGCTCCTCTCTCAACGGGTCAGCCTGTCGGGGTTCTCCCTCTAGAGAGGCTACCTGCCTCTGAGTGTCATCCACCTGCTCCCTCAACAGCAGAATGTTTTGGCTGTACCTGCAGACAGTAAATAAAAAACAATGTTTACACTCTTACCAACAGTAAGTATCTTTAACTCAATGTTTGTAACAAAACAGAAGATGACAGCATGACTTAATGACAGTTTCTGTCTCCCCCGTGTTTTCATTTTAGTGGGGCCACAGTAACATAAGCTTGTATGCCAACAAAACAACATGTTTTATTATCGAGTGCCTTTATCTCTGTATTACTGTTGTTGTCCATACTGACAGCACAAATAAAAATACATGTATAGGAATGTGATGAGTCACAAGCTTCTTTCACCTTTATTAGGATTAAGATACTGAGTCACAACACGGAAAATGGGTCAAAATTTATTTTTACTGTCAGTCAGTGGAAAGATTTTTGGTCCAGATGGAGAGAATTCTATTCAATTCAATTTTATTTATATAGCGCCAATTCATAGCATATGCCAACTCATAACACTTAACATAGTAAGGTCAGATCTTATAAATTTTAAACAGAGAAACTAACAATCCAAAGATTCCTTTGGATTCCCTATGAGCAAGCAGTCAGTGACAATGCAAAGGAGCCGGAAAAAAAAACAAACCTCTGACAGAAAGTTTGTCAAAATAATTTTAATTTATAAATTCTAATTATTCTTCAAGTCAGTTTTTAAAACTGACAAAATGTGCAGGTTCCAATGCAAACATTTTCATTTTTGGACATTTATGGGATTGATTAGAATGTGTTTATTGACAAAACAAGCATTTAAAAGTTTAAAGCAGCCATGTTGGACGACTATACTGTTAACTGGTCAATTGTAAATAGTCAAGAAGTAAATGTAACAACTAAAAACATTAATAGTGAAACAGCTGTATTTCAAGGTTTGATTGCAAAGAGTTTATTTTTCAGAGAAATGGGGGCTTACATCTGCAGGATGCTGGTGCCCTCAGAGGGCCACTCTACCGCTTGGACTTCTCTGCCGGGTCTAGTTTCCTCTGGTTGTGTGTGACTGAGCCCCTGTTGGTGTTTCACGGGAGACAGAGGGCAGGGCTTTGCAAAGGACTTGTCTGCAGAAGAGCAGCGGTACAGTTTGGGGTTTGAGGTGGATGGCTCAACTTCTTCCAAAGTCAGCTTCCTCTTGGGCTTCTTGGGTATGTGGACTCCTTTAGCACCATCTCTCTGCACCTTTGCCAGGTAGAGTTTAATGTCTTTAAGCGGCCGCTGGACGAGGATGTAGTCATACTCCATTTTGTTTCCATTTACAGGAACTCCAAGCTGAATAGAATCTCCAAGCTTGAGCTGATGGGCGTTATCAGCAATTATACGATTTCCATTCACCCACACACCATTGAGACTCTGAGAAAGAAAGCAGTCATGTGTTTATTGGCTCCTGTTGGTAATATTCATATACTAAAAATGTACCAGTACCAAAAACACAGAAAAATTAGAATTAATGAATTTATGATACTTAAAAAAAAGAATGGAAGAAAAATGCAACATAATGCTACATTTCAAATATTGCAGATAAAAGGGGGTGTGCTTTTCTTGCCAGGATTCTGTGTAACTTATAAAAAATACTACACAGACGTAACTTCTTGTCAGTGTGGTGCTGATAGTGCAGATTGCACTCATCAAATATGGGGGTCTTTACAAGCATGATACATCTGGCATATATCCAGTGCCTGGTATAGTTTGATAGTAAACAGTAAGATGGTAACACACCCCTACATAACTCAAATAAAATACAAAAAGGAGGGCATTTCTTTGAGAGCACAGTACAAACACATACCAAACATGTCCTATAATTTTATAGTCTATATTGCTTTGATCTTTTAGAACTAAGTATGTTTATACAGCAAAGCCAATACAATATAATTAGGAAAGAACTCATGAAATAGTCATCATTCAACTCATCAGAGGCCTGGTCACCTTCTTGTCTGTCACTGTCCACTGTCCATCTTCTCTTTGCTTGAAAGTGCAGTGCAGTCTAGAGATCATGAGGGGACAACTTAGAGACAGCAGCTGGTAAGTTACATCCACACCTCGACCGACGGAGACCTGAACAGTCAAGCACAAACATGCCTGTTAACTTCCACTCTGCAGCTATTTAGCTCATTAAAATGTATCTATACTCTTCTACTGCGACGTGCTAAACTAAAGGGATATTTTATCTGTGGTATTTAAATATACCGTGAACTTGAGCAAGCTTGAGAGTTAATTTACATTTAGCTAGTTAGCTAACATTAGCAAAAAGAAAAAGAAATGTACCTCTGTGTTTTCGAACAATCGCAGCCAGTCTGAATTTCTCCCGACTCGCATCAAACAGAACACCTCTGAGTCACAACATGTATCTTCCTCAGACGCACAACTGTCCGTCCTGACATTATCCATCTTATCTCGGTGTCAGCCGTGAACTGGACCCATGATACGGCGCTTGCTGTCTACTTTCAGGTTGTGAGTCTCTCAGGCAGCCATACTGCTGCCACCGAACGGAAGCACCGACATACGGCTGGTTTGTTTTCAAAATAAAGGCGTTCGACGTGTCAGCCAGCTGCCCTTAAAATCAACTGAAAAGGGGATAATCAGGACAAGCTCTGAGAAGGACTTCATTCATTTTAACGAACAGTCTGGTCATAAAGTTAGCCCACTGTGGTTGTTTAATCCGCTTTTTTGTTCAATTACCTCAATACAGCGATTAAATCAAGGTTATTAATGCTTAACAACATATATTATCGATACAATATATATATATATTAAATGAATTAATTACGAATACATCTCATTAAAAAAAGGATTAAGATTATGATGCCTGTATTATCGATGTAGAAGAAAATACATTGAATTTCCGTTAGCGATGTCTTACAGTAGCAGCGTGAGTCGTTGTGGGCACTGTTTAGAAAATGTCACATACACAAGTATGCACACAATAGCAGGAGAAATGTAATGAACAGCAAGGTGCATTTATAAAGTGTCAATTGTTCAATTATAGCACGTTTTAAAGTAATGCATGATGCTTAATTAAATACATTTTGCCACTGTGTGAGTTAAATGTATTCAGCAGATAAATAAATAAAGCAGGGATTATATTTTCAAAAATAAACAACATGTTTTAATCTGAATGTTTAACACATGAAACAGAGGTTTAAAAAGTAAAAGTACTCATAACCACTGCTAGTATCATATGACTAGATTTTTTTCTGCTTTATAAGCTGTTAGTTTAATCTGTAACTACGCATTAGATTGTAGAAGTTGAACTTTTTTTAAAAAAACTATCTTAACAGTCAAATTAAAGTAATGATGTAAAAAAGATTTCCCTATGAAAACTTAAAGCATTATTCCCGCAAACAGTAACCTTCTGAAAATGTTCCCGAAATGTTCCCTGAAGGTTTCTGCTTGCTGGCCATAACGTAACATTTCATTTCTATGCTATTCTATGCGGGACATTGCAGTATGTCAATATCGTGGTGCTGCTGCAAAGCATGCAAACTGCAGCTAATGTGGACTGCAACTAAAACCCGCTCCCTGCTGTTTCCGCAGACCTGCTGTCCGCTGCCTCACCCGCACACTGCAGTCACCCGGGCGAACCCGTGTCCCGAAACGCGCGCACCTCGAGCTCCAGGCGGGACTTCCTTTCTTTTGCGGATACGACACTGGGGTGGAAAGCAGGCAGAAAGGGCTTGGTCGGGGTGTCACCGGTATACCCGTGCGCCTCTGGACAGCAGATAACCTGGCTGACGACGCTGCTGTCGCTGAAGTCCCGTAGATGAACCTCCTCCTCGGCTATGCAGCCTTGAGAGCGCCGCGAGTCACCGCCCCGCCAAAATGTCTGATGTCAACAAGACTGTTCAGAAATGGCACGCCAGTTTTAGGAAAGGCACAGACTTTGACTCGTGGGGACAATTAGTGGAGGCTATAGATGAGTACCAAATGTAAGTTGCATTCAACATGTGTATCCTGTCTCTCCACACCGCTCAGTTATCATGAATGCAGGGCGGCGAGCTTCTTTTCCTTCCGTTTTTAATCTGCTTGTCCTTAAATGTGCAGAGAAATGAGAGCATGTAGGGGACAGTGGGTGCATGGTGCTTCCCAAGAAGTTAGCCTCTTAGCTGTCAGTCAGCCCTCCGAGCAGTAAATAAAGCCTACCCCCCCCCATGACGTGATGTGGCAGTTGTTGCAGAGCAGCGAGGTGCTTCCTCCACAGCAGCCGAGCGGAGGCTGCCATGGAGAAGCCCTCAGAGCCGCTTCATGATGTGTCAGGCGGTGCAGAAAAGAGCCAGGATCCTTCAGAGTATTGAGAAATAGTCAGCCACACCCTCTCATTGTTATGGGTGGTTTTTATCAGTTTTGTAAGGAATGCTTTCTGATTTTTTCAGACGAGATCATCCTCTTTGCATTTCTCTACAATGTGGGACTTGCTCTGTTTGCTGTCTTTGTTTTATTTAAAACTGCACTAATATCTGCAAAGTCTACATTCTGAAGACACATTTTCGTCACCGCAAGGGGGCGCAAAGATACATGCTGCAACTACCTTGCATCTACCTTCAGGAGTTGAACACTAATGCATCTCACTGTGCTCATGTGGCTTCATTTAGTCTTGCGAGACAACTGCAAAAAGAGGTCCAGTCAGCAAATTCGTCAGACTTCACAGAGGAGCAAAAGGTAATCGTTACATCTCTGTGCAGCTTCTGTACTGAAAACACTGGTGTGCTGCCTAATCTGACAAGTGTCTCTTTATTTTCAAGAAAACCTTAGGCAAGATTGCAACATGTCTGGAGATGAGAAGTGCCAGTTTGCAGGTTTGTGTTATTGTTTTTTTTAGTCTGAATGAATGCAACTAGTATCACATATCTGGGGTCATATTCAGGATTTTTAGAAATACTGAGGTCAGTGGGTCAGTTTTATTATCTTAAAACAAAACTGATTATAGACAAACCAGATGCATCCTTCCCTAAACATAATTCCAAAGCTTATCCACGACCTGAGTGACAGAGAGCAGCAACAGCACAGATGAATACACAGAGGAGTGCACACAAACTCCAAGTGAAAGCAATGTCACTAAATATAAAGTCACACTAAAAATGTTGAGCAAATGCTAAAGGATACAATTATGAAAGAAAGCCAGTTATTATAATTGATGGTGTTTTGACGGGTTTTAAAACATGTCACTTTTCCAGTACAGCATGCTTTATTCATCACATTTTATGGCTCCTTTAGCCTTTGTGATGTTCATTGCGACTCACCGTTTGTGTGCTTCAGAATTTCAAATGATTTTTCATTTACCTATTCAGGTACATCTTTTACAATTATCTCTCTTAATTCAGTTACATTTTTAAAATTCATTTTTTCTATCATAGTCTAAATTCTGATTCAAATGCTAATTCTGGTGCTGGTCTATTCAAATTGCCTGCCTTGTTATTATTTTTACTGGCTAGAATCACCCATATTTTAGCCATATGGAATTCAAAGATGTTGAGAAGCAGCTTAAAAACCCAAAATGTTCATTTGTGTTTAGACAGAGAGCTGTGGTAGACATGTCATAGCAACTAAGCTTTCAAATGCCAGTAAACAGGACAGAGATACTGGTAATTAAAAAGTGACATTTCTATCAGATTGTAGCTTAATTTGAACTTTCAATACGTTTTGATGCATTGATTGCCAATTTCATTGACTTGAATTATTCAAAATCACTTTTCCTAAAAATAATGTTGAGTATTAAGCCTGTCCTTTGTGCTTCCTCAGTGCACTCAGTCAAAGGAGGAGTTCAAATTAGAAGACCTGAAAAAACTGGAAACCAGTAAGTGTGTGATTAATAGCTCTCATGAATGACTGGACATTTTTATGTAACATACTATAATCAATTTCTTTCTTTTAACAGTAATTACAAATATACTTTCCTACAACAAAGAATTTCCCTTTGATGTCCAGCCGGTGCCCTTAAGGTAAAAATCCATCACTGAATTTCTTATTTCTGTTTTGAACTCGTATTTTACAGCACTGTTTTAACATTTATGTCAACTGATGGGATCACTGTGTGTCTGTGTTTCACAAAATAATGTTAACATGAAGCTTCAGCTTAAGGTCTATCATAGTTATGAGACAAGGTTAGTGATTATCAATCACTCCTGTAGCTTAGAAGACAGAATTGATGGTGCTACCTGATTTAATATAATGAATACGAGCTCCAGTATCTGTTTCAGTGGGATTTTGTTGTTGTTGTTGTTTTTTTTCAGCAATGTATTTCGGAAAATGTGTTAAAAGCTGTCACTTGTGCAGCTAGATGTAAACCTTTAAAAGAAATGAGAAGTAGAGTGTTGCTGTGGATACAGTGATGGAATTATATTTACATACACTTGTAAAAAGAAAAACATATGTATCATGGCAATCATTGCCTTGAACTAGTCATTAAAGTCACTTGAAGCCATTTCAAAGCAGCTGCAGATTTCAAAATCAACTGTGCAAGCAATTGTTTTTAAGTATAAAGTGTAAGGTGCAGTTGTTTCACTGCTGCAGTCAGGAATAAAACATCACCTTCTTCTGAGAGACAATTGGTCAGGATGGCCATGAGTCAATTAAGAATTGCCAAAAAGCAGGTTTGCAATGACTTTGACGATGCTGGAACACAGGTGTCAGAGTCCATGGTCAAACCTGCCATTGGCTGAGAGGAACACCAAACTTCAAGCATGGCGGTGGTAATATTATGCTTTAGGGCTGTTTTGCTCCCAATGGAATCGGTTCTTGACGCAGACTAAATGAAACAATGAAGAAGGACGATTACCTTTACATTCCTGAGGAAAACCAAAAATCATCAGCCAGAAGATTTGGTCTTGAACATAGTTTGTTGTCTCAGCAAGACAATGATCCAAAACACACATAAAAAATGGTAAAGAAATGGCAAAATCAGGCTAGAATTAAGGTTTCAGACTGGCCTTTTGAAAGTCCTGATTTAAACCCCTTTGAGAACCTGTGGACTGTGATGAAGAAACAATTCTGTGTGAGAAAGTCAACAAATTTACTGTATCAAATGAACCCCATTTAAATTGGCTTAGAGGAGTCACCAGCTGTAGTCAATTGTAATCACCCACAAAAAGTCAAGAGGCCATGCCACTAAGAAAGTTTGATTAGCAAAAATGTCTACAGCACTACGACTGATAATTCAAGTGGCTGTATGTATATTTTTGATCCAGCAGATTCTGTCATAAATATATAAGACCTAAGATTAAATAACCAAAAACAATTAAAATAACCAAAATGCATGATTTTTTTTTTTGTGACAAAAACAAGTGTGTTTCATTGATTCCATTACTGAAAGTTTAGAGTCAGGGGAGTCATTGCAAACCCAAGACTGCCATGGTATACATGGAGAAGACTGTGGACAGCATGAGCTCCGTTTTTAGCCTACATTTGTTTCCACTATCACTGAATTATTTTTGTTAATTACTTTTATTTATGCGCTCTTGAAGATACCCCATAGCATATTCTGACGCGTACTATATATTGTCTTTAATTATAAGATACAGTCTGTTGCTTGTATACAATTAAAAGCTTAAGATAAAACTTAAAATGACATACTGAATCTAGTGTCCATGCTCTTTTAGTTTCCTTTTCGTGCTATTGTTCCTTATAAGTATAACAAATTATCATAGTGCTTTTGCACAGCTCAACACATTTTTAAAATCAGATCATTTTATCCCTTTTGGTTGTCCTGGTGACTATCTGTGATGACGGAGGTGGTCATGGGGTTAAAAGATTCTTCACGCTACTGCTTTCTTGGCTCGATGTCCTTACAGAGATCTATAAAGAAATCTTTTCTGTTCTTCTCTGTTAGAAAAATCCTTGCTCCAGGTGAAGAGGAGAACCTTGAGCTGGAAGAAGAGGAAGAGGATGCTGCAGCAGGAGCAGGTTCAGCAGAAGCTTTTCCACCACGAGCTCCGGGTACTTCACACTTCTGCTGTTGAGGCTGTGTAATTTCATGTACCATTTTGTCACATTGTCCTGTTTTGGAGGGCCGATTGACTGTGTTTTTTTGCCCTTTTTGTCGGTGCTGTGCATGGCTTCATCGCTCATTCCCGCCTGCCTGCTTCATTTGCAGCTTTGCAAGGTATGACTGCTGACCAACAGCATCAGAATTCATCCTCTGCTGCATGACAGACTTGTTTTAATAGCCTTGCAACACAGCTTGATGTTGTATCAACAAATTAGGATTAAAAAGTGTGTCATTCTGACTTAACTTTAGATTTAGATGCTTATTTTTAACTGTAGGGACAATTAATGATTTAGTCTTTTATTAACAGAGAACCTAAGTCCCTTAGGCTTACCAAGTTAGCCAAGTGTCCCTGGCTTTGGCCAAACAGTCTACTTTTTTTATATTGACCAAATTTAGTCAATAATAGCTCTACAACTTTGAGACAAAGTTAAACAACCTTGGACTCTATGGATAAGAGGCCAGGCCAGAGTGAGATTTGAAAAACTCCAGCAAAAACGTGCAGCTATACAAAACCATATTTTAAATATCGAATAATGTTTTACAATGTTTCAGCTTATAGTTTTGCTTTACAACTTTAATTCTCTGGTTCATTTGAATTGGTTTAAGTAGGCATCATTTGCAGATGCAGCAGGCAGCTGTGTATAGCTCGGCAAGTTAGCAACAAGCTGGTGAATGTAGTGGAGCATTTAGCAACTATAGAGTCCGAAATTTCCCTCTGGAGCTGCTAAAACAGAGCTAAGAGAAGAGTGAATATTGGACTTAAGTCCATCAAGTAGCCAGAAATATAACTTTACATGGTAAAGCTGCAGTGTATATATGGTAAATCTAAAACTGGCAACTGTTTGCTAACATGCTCAGCATAACAGCGCAGTTGGTTAGTATATGGTCAGCAGATATAGTCTTCAGAAGACTATTGAAAGAAGCCCTCTGTGAAAACTTTCAGGAACAACTTAAGGCTGTAGAACAGAAGCTAACCAGGAAGTGGAGTGACACTTAAGTTCTTCAAATAAATGTTTAACCTATCATTTTTAAATTGTAACTAAATATGTAAAACATGATATTAAATTGTAAAAGCATCCTGCTGAAACACTATCTGTTGGTTGTTGGTTACACTTTGGTGCTCATGTCTGCAACCTTTGTCCTCTTACAGGTACCTTGTTGCCACGGTTACCTTCAGAGCCTGGGATGACACTACTTACAATAAAGATAGAAAAAATTGGGTTGAAGGATGCCGGGCAGTGCATTGATCCATACATGACCATTAGTGTTAAAGGTAAAAATCCCACAGTGCAAATACACCAGGCCTGCAGTATGTGATACTTGAATGAATGTGAATGGGGTTTGGTGAGGCGGGGAAGAGCTTCATAGCCACTAGTTTCAGATTACGGCCACACCCTTTTCCCCTGCTATAGTCCCACTCACTCTGTTCTGTAGAGGAGAGCTTCTCAAGTGCTTTGAAACTGTTGGTCAAGTGCTTCGTTTGAAAGTCTCAAATCTGAAACAGTTTGTTGTCGTCTGTTTCCCTGCCTGCAGATTTAAATGGTGTTGATTTGAACCCAGTGCAGGACACCCCTGTGGCCACCAGAAAGGAAGACACTTACATTCACTTCAGTGTGGATGTAGAGATCCAGAGACATGTGGAGAAATTGCCAAAAGGTAAAGCTACCTTTGCCAGACAACATCATAATTTGTAGCGTATTAACATGACATTGCAAACAACTTTGTTTCTGCTCCCACTTTACTGAAAAATGTTTCCATTAATTCATCTTAAAGTCAGCAATGAATTACCCAGATTCCACAATGAAAACAGCTTTTCCTTTGCAGGGAAACCAGTAATTCAGTGACATAACACATGGTGTGCCATCTCATCAGAGCAGTTGTGCATATAAATGTATATTTGTATGTGAGCACTGTGAATAGTGTAAATAATGATACTTCTAATAGTTCTAAAAATTAATTTGCCAACACTTGTGACAAAATCAATTTTTTTTGAAGTTTATTTTTTATTTCTTTCTACTTACATGATGCTAAATTAGGTTGTTTAATCACATTTAATAATTTAACATACCATAAAGAACCTGGGGCCAGATAATAAAATGAATTCATTACCTTAGTGAATGCCACTCAGGCATACCTCACCTCAGCCCTCTCATGTTCTCATAATTCTCATGATATTCATATGATGTTTTAAATTCTTCCAGGAGCAGCTATCTTTTTTGAATTCAAGCACTACAAACCGAAAAAGAGGTTTACCAGCACAAAATGTTTTGCCTTCATGGAAATGGACGAGATCAAACCTGGACCGATTGTAATTGAACTGTGAGTCGACTAATGAACATTTTTAGCAGTAACATTCCATGAGATACTTCTCATGTCAGTGAAGTAAATGCTGTTCCTTCTTGAATTCCAGGTACAAGAAGCCCACAGACTTTAAGAGGAAGAAACTGCAGCTTCTCACAAAGAAACCACTTTATCTTCATCTTCATCAGACATTACATAAGGACAGCTAAGTCACAGCGCACCTCAAACCACGTCTTTGAATCTCTCTCATCCACGTCCAGCAAAATGTGGTGTTTCCTCTCATCACATTCAGCAATACGAAATTAAGGCTGTTGTATTTTTTTCATACGTTAGTCACATCAGCTCACACTCAGATTTGAATATTTTTGATTTTTCTTTTCAAAAGTGGAAAACAAAATACCCTAAAAAGAACTTTTTTTCTTTTTTTTTTTTTTTACTATAGGGATGGTTTCCATAATGCAGCAATAGCATGTTGAAGCAGTTAAACCTCCTCATCTTTAGTCTTCCTTAGCTCACAGATGTCGGGAAACGAGGACACAAGTCACTGTAGGTGCTTAACTGGAGCTGAACTCTTTACAGAGTTTGGCTCATCATATCTGTGCTGTTGCACTTTGGACTGTCAGGCAAAAGTCAGCAAAACATTAACCCCTCAACATTCACCCCCTGCTTATACTGCGAAAGACTAAAAGCTTGGAAGCATTTTGTGTGTAGGACTCAGTGAAAGCTATGTGGAACACATAGTGAGTCAACAAGTATGTGCCTCTGTAAACACAAAAGATCAGAAACCTGTTTTCCTATGTGCACACTCTTATCACAAAGTAAGGACAGATTACTTCTGTGGTATTGGTATCTGAAAATTGTTTACACTGTTTGAATTCGGGGATTTTGTGCTTTTAAACGATGTGTAATTATTGCAGATGCCGTTTACAATATAGTGGCGGGCTATTCTTTTTTTATTTCGACTTTATTTAACTGTGTGTGTGTGAGTGTGTGTGTGTCTGTGTGAGGGTGTGTGACCACATTTCGCAGAAGTAATGAAACACTCACCGAAAACATTCCCTAAATGCAGACAGCCTCTTTTTGTTGAGCCACAAAGAGCACTATATGGATAATTCTGGATGGTCCGTGGAGTCTGGAGTGTGTTATTGTAACAAACTTTTGTATTATAGTTACCAGCACTTCATAAATGAACTGTAAGGGCACTCAGAGAGCGCATCCTCCACCAAGGCCAATGTGCTATTTGCAGTTTTAATGAAAGTGATCACAATGTACTGGGTTCTTTCTTTGCTTATGAGCCACCTCTCCACCAAGTTTCATGAAATTTGACTTGGCAGTACGTATTTACATAATTTTGCTGACTAACAAATAAACGACATTGATCATGTACCCCTGCCTTGACGGTGGAATCAAGATGAAGCACATAACAGATAACATTGTCATTTATAACTCTAAAAAGTTAATTTTGTTTTCCAGTTAATTTTATTTCCTCATTTTTGTTTTTAAAAAGTGAATTAATAACATTTAGAATATAAGTAAGTTGAAAAGGTGTCTAGAAATGTAATGTTGGTATTCTTCTTACTACCTACCTGTCATGTATTCCGTCTCACCATTTTATATTTACAGTTTTTGTTTTGTAACAACTTTAAAGACAAATCCCTTTTATTTAAAGGAGTAGTTTGTGTTTGTGTGCTTTCTTACTGAGAGTTACTTAAACAGATTAATACCAACCACCACTTGCAGCTGGTTAGCTTAGTGTAAAATAAGGTAATGAAATCTGCCTAGCTACACCTCTAAAGCTCAGTAATTAACATGTATCTTTTCCACAAATTAAGCTATATTCCTATAGAAAGTATTGTGATATCACAAGTCAAGAGTTATGTTCAGATAACTTTTAAAGGTATCACGAAAAAGCAGATCATACTAATCCAGTCAATGCGGTGGTACACTGCAGACTCTGAAGTGGATTACTATTTAAAAGATGCAGTTATATGTTCAATATACATTTACATTTGCATCTACATTTTAACAGTGAGTTATAATACATACATATAAAGTGATACATAATAAAAAATAACATTTATGATCATTGAAAGACAGATTTAAATACATTTATTTGTGTGAGCCCAGATATGATCCAAGAGGAAGTTAAGGTCTCCACCATAAAGTCAGACAGGTGCTACACCTACTGTTACTACTGCAGTGTGGATTTAACATGATGTTTAAATACTGATGCAGAAGGTTTTGTAAATGTATAAAAAGTACAGTGGTTGCAGCATGGTTTAATATTTTGTGTAAGTCTTTTTTTGTTTTGTTTTTTTCCCTTCGGTTAATGTTGGATCACACACACTGTTGATCAGCTGCCAGGAGTAGATTTTAAATCCAGTGTTACTTTGCAAATCAAATGACTTCTGTACACAGTTATCTGAATGAAATGCCTACATGCACCTATGTTTAATTGGCAGTTAAAGGACAAACCTGTGCTCTGCAACTTTGCTTCCATTCTGAACAACAAATTGTTTCTTCGCTAAAAGATCTACAAGATTAATTTTTAGTTTTGTAATGTGACAAAAAAAAAAAAAACAACCTGCACTGTCTTGACAGAACTGAGAACTTTCAAGTCTTTTAGTTTTGTTGACAGACTGGGGGGAGTGGTATCATATATTTACAATGCTTTTATTTTCTAATAAGCTACAATGGGGCATTTTGTGGTTTGATTTCATCCAGACATCATATGCTAAACAGCCCAGTGTTCCAGCCATGAAATAACTTCTTGTATTGCTTACTCTTACATTAACCTTTCCCAATTAGACATATTCTATTACTGAATTATTAATAGTCTAAGTATATATTCCTTCAAAAACAAACAGCAGCAGGACAGTTTATTTCAACTATTTGCAGACATGTCATCTCCCAGGAGTTTATTTCCTCCTGACCACCATTTGCCTCACGCAGTGCAGTTGATCAAGTTGTTGATTGTAGCCTGTGGAATGTTGCTCCTCTCCTCTTCAATGGTGTTGCTGGATATTGGTAGGAACTGGAACACACTGTCATATACGCCGATCCAGAGCATCCCTAACATGCTCCATGGGTGACATGTCCGGGAAGTATACTGGCCGTGCAAGAACTGGGATGTTTTCAGCTTCCAGGAATTGTGTACAGATCCTTTCAACATGGGGCTGTGCATTATCATGCTGCAACATGAGGCGATGGTCGTGGATGAATGGCACAACAACAGGCCTCAGGATCTCGTCACGGCATTCAAAATGCCGTCAATAAAATGCACCTGTGTTCGTTGACCATAGCATACACCTGCCCATACCATAACCCCACCACCACCATGGGCCACTTGATTCACAACGTTGACATCAGCAAACCGCTCACCCACACAATGCCATACACACTGTCTGCCCTGTACAGTGAACACTGGGATTCATCCATGTAGAGAAAACCTCTCCAAAGTGCCAGACGCCATCGAATGTGAGCATTTGCCCACTCAAGTTAGTTACGACAACAAACTGCAGTCAGGTTGAGACGCCAATGAGGACGACGAGCATGCACATGAGCTTCCTTATGGTAGAGAAATGAACATTCAATTCACAGGCAGCAGCTCTGGTGGACATTCCTGCAGTCAGCATGCTAACTGCGTGCGTCCTCAAAACTTGCGACATCTGTGGTATTGTGCTGTGTGATAAAACTGCACATTTTTGGAGTGGCCTTTATTGTGGCCAGCCTAAGGTACACCTGTGCAATAATCATGCTGTCTAATCAGCAGCTTGATATGCCACACCTGTGAGGTGGATGGATTGTCTCGGCAAATCACACATTTAGCCAAATTTGTGAATATTTGAGAAAAAGGCCTTTTGTGTACATAGAAAAAGTCTCAGCTCATGAAAAATGGGAGCAAAAATAACAGTTCATTTATATTTTTGTTCAGTGGACACTCACCGGCCACTTTATTAGGTACACCTTGCTAGTACCGCATTGGACCCCCTTTTGCCTTCAGAACTGCCTTAATCCTTCGTGGCATAGATTCAACAAGGTACTGGAAACATTCCTCAGAGATTTTGCTCCATATTGACATGATAGCAACATGCAGTTGCTGCAGATTTGTCGGCTGCACATCCATGATGTGAATCTCCCGTTCCACCACATCCCAAAGGTGGTCTATTGGATTGAGATCTGGTGGCTGTGGAGGCCATTGGATCAGAAGATGGGTACACTGTGGTCAGAAAGGGGTGGACATGTTCAGCAACAATACTCAGGTAGGCTGTGGCGTTGACACAATGCTCAATTGGCACTAAGGGGCCCAAAGTCCATCCATCCATTATCTATACACCGCTTAATCCTCACTAGGGTCGCGGGGGCCTATCCCAGCCGATTTAGGGCGAAGGCAGGGGACACCCTGGACAGGTCGCCAGTCTATCACAGGGCCACACTGAGAGACAGACAACCAAGCACAGACAATTTAGAATCACCAATTAACCTCAACGTGTTTTTGGACTGTGTGGAAGGAAGCCGGAGAACCCGGAGAGAACCCACGCTGCACGGGGAGAACATGCAAACTGCACGCAGAAAGATTCCGGTGCCCCCACCGGGATGCGAACCGGAAACCTTCTTGCTGCGAGGTAACAGTGCTACCAACTGCGCCACCCTGCAGCCCTGGGGCCCAAAGTGTGCCAAGAAAACATCCCCCACACCATTACACCACCACCATCAGCCTGAACCGTTGATACAAGGCAGGATGGATCCATGCTTTCATGTTGTTGACGCCAAATTCTGACCCTACCATCCGAATGTCGCAGCAGAAATCAAGACTCATCAGACCAGGCAACATTTTTCCAATCTTCTATTGTCCAATTTTGGTGAGCCTGTGCGAATTGTAGCCTCAGTTTCCTGTTCTTAGATGACAGGAGTGGCACCCGGCGTGGTCGTCTACTGCTGTAGCCCATCCACCTCAAGGTTCCACGTGTTGTCCGTTCAGAGATGCTATTCTGCATACCTCGGTTGTAACGAGTGGTTATTTGAGTTACTGGTGCCTTTCTATCAGCTCGAACCAGTCTGGCCATTCTCCTCTGACCTCTGGCATCAACAAGGCATTTGCGCCCACAGAACTGCCACTCACTGGATATTTTCTCTTTTTCGGACCATTCTCTTTAAACCCTAGAGATGGTTGTGCGTGAAAATCCCAGTAGATCATCAGTTTCTGAAATACTCAGACCAGCCCCTCTGGCACAAACAACCATGCCACGGTCAAAGTCACTTAAATCACCTTTCTTCCCCATTCTGATGCTGAGTTTGAACTGCAGCAGATAGTCTTGACCATGTCTACATGCCTAAATGCATTGAGTGCTGGCATGTGATTGGCTGATTAGAAACTTGCATTAACAAGCAGTTGGACAGGTGTACCTAATAAAGTGACCGGTGAGTGTATCGGCATGGCTGATTATGACTGGAGCAGGTAAGCAAGATGGGTTGTTTTATTTGGGTGAAACGAAACTTCAAGCTTCCCATGTATACCTTCATTTGGATTTTGGGTAAATTCATTGCCAGTGTGTCCTCATAAACCACGTGTGAAAATGTTAAGTGCTCTTGAGAATGAAGAAGCAGAATAGCAGCGCTTCTTTCTGCTGACCTGAGAAGTCTTAAATGGTTACCAAAACACATCCTCACTCTTCTGTTCTGTTCCTGCCCACACCAACAGTACAGCAGCAGTAGGTAGAAAATATGGAACAGGCAGTTTGTTTCTGTCACACTAACTGCTCACCTTTATGGCTTTTTTCCTTCAATAAAAGCTTCATCCCACATTTTGCCTAGGCACTAGAGTGTGTGTAAAGCACATCCCCAACTGATGACGTAACACCAACAGCTTTTACATTCTTTATTATTAAAAGTTCTACCAACATAGTAAAATAAGTTATACATTTGGCCATCAAATTACACATTTGCTTTACAGGTCATACTAAAGCAACAGCTTTGGGAAATTATGGTATTCCTGAAATGCTAGTAACTAAACCTCCCACCTATTCCTCCTTTTTTAAAATAATTTCCACAGGAAATGACATTTAAAAAATTGCCCTTTAAAAATCATTCTATTTATTTGTTTTAAAAGATCAACACAAATGAAAATCCTCTTAAGTATAATGAAGTGTTATTGCACAGTAAGCTGTTTAGAAAAGTGGCAACCCCCTCAACTCATTGATTTCAGACACGCAATTATTGATTCTTTAATCTAAGGGTATTGTTTTTAATCAACATAGCACTTGTTTTTATAACAGAAATATGAAACAGTTATGACCAATGTTTCTGGTTTGTTATTGTAATAGGTTTGAATACAGGGCTGTTCAAGTCCTCTGATGTAGCTGGTGGCATTTTTAAGGCTTGGCCACTGCTGGCCTTGCTGAGTCCTGAAGGGCCTCCTGCTCCGCATGCACATCCTGTCCAAGGACATTGTGAGTTCCCGCTGAGTTCTGGAGGGCATTTGGTGCAGCCTGACCATACACATCACCTGGATGTACCGGATGAGGATGGACACCTGGAGGCAGGTTCAGGGGTGGACTGGTGTGATCGCGCGACCCGGGGAAGCGCATGTCAGGAGGGATGGGCGGACGTAGTCCAACAGGGCCACGGATACCTAAACAGAGCAATTAAAAAGAAAAACATAGATGAAATGAAATATGGCGAGACAATGCCAAAGAACATCCTAAGAACATAGCAGTTGGATATAAATGAGTGACATACAAAGAGTGATGAACACATTTTTTCAATTTAATATTTTTTTTAGTTCAGTATATACAAGTTTGCAAGGGTATATAATGCTTTCAGCAAATAGCCACAGCCATTAAAAAAAAAAAAAAGAATAGAAAGAAGCATTTGTATTTGTCTGCCTTCCTGGCTTTCATACATCATCTAACTGCCAGCCACTGAAATGGAGGAATTACAGCCTTAAAACTGAAATACAATGAAAGTTTGATCAATTATGAAACACTTCATTGCTCAGATCAACACACATTTTGCAATGGCATCCTTACTTGATCTGTTATGACCACTGCTACTCATTAAAAGTGATACTGTCTCACTTAAATTGAAAGATGATAAATTGAACAATTAAATGATACTGTCTCACTTAATTTCCCTGAGGTTTCCACCAAGGGGATCAATAAAGTTCTATTCTATTCTTAAAGCAGTTCTGGTAGTGACTCATGCTTGCCATAGCACTGTGTGGTTAATAGCATCTGGCCTGACTGTCTGGAATTGACTCTGTTAGCTTGTGCATAATATTCCTACTTTATACTCCTGTATTTTAATCTGTAGGCTATTTGACATAAGTGCAAGTCTTAATAATTGATTTAAAGTTTTTCTTTTTACTTCAAATTAATTTCTTATTTCCTCTGCCGTTATGATACAACATAGACATATTTGATTTTTTTTTTTTTTAAATGTAGTTAGAAAAAAACAATACTGTGATTAAAATGTAGTAATAATCATAGTAAGTTGAGTAAAACAGCTTTACGGTTATGAGCTTTATGCTGCCGACACCCTATAACACTCCTCGATACCAGCACATCTTTTGGCAAATATTTGACAACCTCAAAGACTGAAAAGGTTGACACATTTACAGATTGAGACCTGAGGGGCATACTACAAAACTAATTTGGAAATAGCCAGGCTTTTTTTGTGTAAGTGGGCTCAACAAAAACTAAAACCTCAGAGATAAACAGGTATCACGAAGGTTGTTATCAACTTTCTTTGTCAACTCAGGTTTTCTTGCTTCAGACTCATGCGTTCACGTAAAAGGAGGCATTTAATGAGCAATTTGACTCTTCTGCACAAAATGAAACTGCTGCTTTAATTAACAGGTTGTTATAATGGAGAGCAAGGAGGAGTGTAAAAATGTAGGCTGGTAAAAAGTGCTGCAAGTAATGCAAGACATGAATGCTAATAGAAAACTGGTAATTGTGCATAATATATATTACTGCTGCTTATTTCTAACTGACAGCTACACATTAAATCTGTTACACTGTAAACTATATACATTTAAACAAGATATTGTATTGCAATGCATTTAGGTCTGACACTGTCCCATAATGCAGGATATCACTTTAATTTTTGGCCAAATCAAAGTGAAATTAATGATACTGATTGAATGTTCTCTGTAATAAATGCCAGTAGAATAATACATTTCTAATCTGTTTTCTATCAGCTGCAGTACCAGCTGAGTGAATGGACTGACAGCAAATCAGGACCAAACCTGTATCGCTCATAAAGAATCAGAATCGTCAGTAAACAACTTGGTTAAAGGCAAATGCTTCTTCCAGCCGATTAAATCCGAAACTCTGAACATAACCTGCTCCAGACCAGGTTAGCTCCACAGCACAAGTTACCATGAAGATCGAGCAGGTAAAAACAGAGCCTCCTGTGTGGCACTGAAAACTCTGACTTAGGCTCAACATACTTTGCTAACCCACTAATCTCGCTTCATAGTACAGCCCTCTGGGTTATATGGAGGCAAGAAAACATGATGTGCTAACAAAACAACAAAAGGCTGAACATACCGTGTGGCGAAGGCATCGGCCCAAAGTAATGAGGTGGAGGGGGACGGAAGTGTGGTGGTAGTGGACCACGAGGATCATGTACAGGGCCTGGTCTGGGGTGGAATGTATGTCCATTGGCAGGTCGAGGTCCAAACTCTCCTCCTACTGGTCCAGCCAAGGGCATACCTGGGTGTCCATTGGCTGGTAATGGAGGTCCATGCAAAGGAGGAAGTACATTTGGAGGAGCAGGGCCAGGTGGAAGGTGGTAAAGGCCAGGTCGTGGTGGTCTGTAAGGTCCAGGTGGTGGCACACGACCATGGGCTCCAGGAGGGAGCAGTGGATTGTGGGGTCCAGGGCCAGGTGGAGGTCCTTGGACAATAGGGCCAGGTGAGTCTCTGATAGGTGATGCTATAAAGGATCCAGGTCCCTGAAAATGACAAAGACAGACTATAAGAAAATAAAATCTGATCATTGCTGTCACAGTTTCCTGTGAGTATACATGGGTTGAAATTGTAGTCATGCAGTGAAGAGATTCACAAACCAAGCAGTTTACTCCCAAAAAAGAAGTGCATTTAGCCAGGGCTCAATCACATAACCAGTAACCACACACCATGACCATTTGGGTGAAAAATCAAACCACTATCAATCACTTTAACAAACATACTTTGCAACTTTTGCAAACCCAAATATTTCCAACACACACTTTAGATTTAGTTGACTTGATGAAAAGAGCTGTGTCTGTCAGTGCTGTGAGAACAAATAAACCACTCAATGTAAAAAATGTTAAGTAAGCCCCAGAGAAGCAAAAACGCCTGTAATCTCTTCCCATATCCAAATCCAGCTTTAGGGAAGAGGGGGTGAAGCACCGGCATCCACCTTCACACCAAGCACCTGGACTGGACAGTCTCTATACTCACTGGCTCGGGACTCTCTGTGGAGTCCTCAGCCTGACTCTCTGCTTTTATCTGTGGATCTGCTACTTGTGTCTGTTTTAGAGCAAGGACATAGACAGCGGAAATATCGGTAGGAGCTCTCGGTCTACAGATGGGAAGGAGGGATGGTGTCACATAAAAATATGTCTTATCATATAAGAAAATGACTTACAGTTCCATCCAAGTTGGCTGGTGATGAGCTACGAGGGCCCATCATGTCTGAGAGAGGAGAAATAACACAGTATTACAAGCAGATGAAAAGTAAACATGAACTTTTTAAAATATGAAGACTAAAAAAGACATACCCATCCCAGGAATGTGTTTGTTTTCAGGGTAACGACTGTGTGGCTCTGATGGAGATCGCTGACCTGAAGGCAGAGGAAAATAATGCAATGAATAATGAAAAACGTAATGACTCTGCAGCACCTCTCCAGGGAAAACATAGTTGTGTCCAACAAAGGAAGAGGAAACAACGTATTACAAGGGTACAGACTGCATTCCATGAGTAAGAATGACAAAGATGACAACATTTTGGATTACTATAAATACCCTGAAAAGTTGGTTTCAAATTTAATTCTCTTAAATTAATGTCTAATAAAAAAAAAAACAAGCTCAAGATTTTGAAACATTTTAAACACAAATATTCAGCTAATCTGCTCTAGGGTGCAGGACTCCACCACCTACAGTAAGAAACTGATTGAGAAAATACAATTTCAGCAGCTTTTGAAGACGTGACCAGCAAAGCACATTTCAACTGCAACACAGGAAAAGTCTTCCACAGAAAGGACAGTTCTATATGGTTAAAATAAAAGAAACAGAACAAGGGCAGGTACCAGGGAGATGCAGGATGCGATACACATTAGAAAGAAATAAAGGAAAAACCTGAGGTGGAACAGCTGAAAAGAAAAATAAAGTCAGACATGAAGGAGGAGAGAGATTTAAGGACATGAGGCTGCAGCGGAGGGATGGTGAGCTTTTGTAAAAATTAAGGTAGGTGAAGTAATCCCCTTTGACTCACCATACGGGTCAATTCTTCGCCCAATTGGAGCAGAAGGAGGGCGCCTGGGACCCTCTATCATTAATGGAGGGGACGGTGCACCCCCACTAACAGGTGAGGGCCCATATGAATCACCTGTCATAATCAAACTATCAAGTTATCGAAAGAAAAGAAACAGCTGACAATACATCAAAGTCTAGGTAATTATGAGGTCCTTATTCCAGACTCTCTGAGAAAGTCAAGCACACTGAAATGATGTAGTACAAGCAAAATGTAATAAAACTGTGTCTTTTTTTTTGTTTGGCAAAAACAGAACACAAGAAAAAAGAAAGGCAGGATTAGAAAACAGCATCATCCTCTGTAGTTCTGTAGAATGAAAACTGTCCTGCTGAAATGAAAACAGAAGGCAGGTTGTGACTGCTTACCTTGGCAAGGGCCTGCAGGCTGACCAGAGTTTGGCCTGAAGAGAGGAGCCCGGCGCTCGTTGAGTTGGGAAGTAAGTATAGCCAGTCTGTTAGCAGAGAAAAACAGTTTAGATAGGTACCACATGTCAGGCTTTAACTAACAACTTTTCAGTAAATCTTCTGAAAGTAAAAATGTCCATAGATGTCCAATTTCATAAATGACAACATCCGGTTTTCATAATTTCTACAAACAATTAAAATAAATAAACAAATAAATATATTCAATTCACAGTAATATTAAACACAAAAAGCAAATTCTCTCATCGCAGGAGCTGTAGTCAGTAAATATTCTGTTCTCATTCTAGTTTTTTTCATAACTTTTTGCCACAAAGGTAATTTTTTGAAACGACCAATACTTACTTTTCACGGAGCTTTGATGATTCAAGCTTCTCTTGATTCAGAGCTCGCTCTGCATTACGAGCATTCACCTGGAGATAAAATTAGTATTAGTATGTAACTCCCATGTTGTCAAATCTTCAACAAGCTTAAGTATCTGTTTGAGCATAATGTTTTAATCCATGCAGTTTACCCAGTTTGAATGAGTTTTGTTTTCCTGTTCTTTTATCTAAAAAAACAAAACAAGAAAACAACATTCAGCCAGCGTTCACATTTCAGTAATTCCTTTCTTTGTTTATTAAAAAAAACAAACAAAAAAAAAAACTATCTTAATGAGTCTACCTGTTCTTTATAGACTTCCTCTGTCTTTTTCATCTGATCCTCCATTTCATTGATGCGCTGTCTTAAGACCTTAACCTGCTCCTCGGCTTCAACAGCTTTTCCTCCCACCTCAGACAGGAGACTCTCTTTGCTGCGTCGCTCCAACTCCTCTTTTGTTAGTTTCCTGTGAGGCCACAGAAGCACATTCCTTCAAACAACATATAATATATACAGTCATATAATCTTGCACCTCATTTCCACTTCAAAAGAAGTGTAAAACATTACAGCCTATTCATAAATCAGCGCTACAAAGCTCTGTATGACAAAGGAAAACTTACGATACTGATAATTAGGGCCCGACCAATACGGATTTTTTGAGGGCGATGCTGATTCCAATATTTGGCAAAAAAAAAATCTGATAACCGATTAATTGGCTGATTAATTAAAAATAAAAATATAATGAATAAAATAGCTTATTTTTTGGTCCCATAATGCTCACAACAACAAAGATATGAATTACAGACAGAACATTTTACTGTATTACAATACTTTGTCCTTCAGTATTTGTTTAACTTTACAACAGAGAGGAATTTTCAAGTACAAAAACATGCAACAAAGCATTAAACATAATATGCATCAGTAAAAAAAAAAAGTTTTCCAAACAAATATGTCTGTAATGTGGGGTATTTTATTTTAAATTTGCATTGTGCATTTTTCTTTCTGTGGAGCATGCATAAATATAGCTACCAGTTGTACTGATGAATTTATCTTTAGGTTAGGCCTATCACAGGGCTACACTTAACACTCACATCCACACCTACGGACAATTAAGGATCACCAATTAACCTCAGCATGTTTGTGGAATGTTGGAGGAAGCCGGAGAACCCACACTGCCGAGGGAGAACATGTAAACTCCACCCAGAAAGATTTGAACCCAGGACCACTTATTCTCACTGTGAGGTGACAGTGCTAGCCACCGATCCCCTATGTCACATATTTGAACCATTCATTATTGATCCCCAAAGGGAATTTTGATAAGTGTTATTTAACACGAGTATTAATTCTTGAGTTATGTCCAGAAACATGTTTTCTGAGGCAACATTAATTTGGACCAACAAATTGAATCCCTTCATCCTTGTGTGCAAGTGAACATTTGTGTTAAATTTAAAAAAAAAAAAAAAAACAACAAAAAAAACAACTCAAAGTATTCAAGAGATGTCTCGACAATGGGACGAAAACACATATGTCGGCAAAACGCGAAATCATAACGCCTCCAGCCACAGCTATTGCAGACGTGAAGAAGTTAAAGAATACCTCCAAAACGATTTAGAGTTTCATATCACAAAACTTTCAGGCACTGAAAATCATAAAAACATCTTTGATAAAACATTTTAGGGCTCAGACATGTAGGAAAAATGTGGTAATACTTTCTAAAGTGTGAAACAACAGTTGCAGGCTTCACTTACTGCTGCAGAGCATTTTCCTTCTGCTGGTACATTTCAACCATGATTTCATTTTTCTGCTGGAGGATCTTGAACTGGTTTTCCACATGGCCCTTTTCACTTTTTAAGGTTGCAATTGCATGTTCCAGCTCTTGGTGTTGTTCTGTTTCAAAATAGAAGGACATATTTTGTGGGAACCCAGGTACCCAGATTCAACAGCTTTACTTTTGTGTAATTACACTCTCAGTGCTGTAACTGAGTTATACAATTTTGCCACAAAACTGACTTTTTCATGACCAACATACCTTCCAAAGCCTTCCTAGACTTTTCTTCATGCAGCAGTTTTGCCATGAAGCGATCACGTTCATCTTCAACTACAGTGAGAGTGGTCTGGACCTGTGAAGAATTTAGAAATACATTTTTATGAGAAGCATGCATTCCAAGAAGGACATCATTTGCACACTTAACATTTGGTGTAACTATAGTGAGCTTTAAAGCATTTGTTGGCATCTTACCCTGGAAACATCCATCATCTGTTTGATTCTACTCTTTATGGCTGTCTTCTTATCTGTAAATGCCACAGCAAGACCATTAGACACATTGTATTCTGAAACAGTGAGGCTTTTTTTCTCTTAATAAACAAATAATGTGTTTTCTTCTTCTTGCTAAATCACTAACAACGTTGAACTTACCAGGTGCTACTTCACCATTGGCTAAAACTTTGGTGTCACCTTTCTGCAAATCACAGGCATCGAGGTCTGCCAGAAGTTCAGACAACACCTGCCAGAAGACATTTTTGTGTGGAGTGAGTCAATAATTCAATACAAGTCAGCAAATCAAGAAAAGCTGTGACAGTAGTTAAAAGAAAAGACTGACCTCCACATTGTGATCTTTGAGCACCACCGAGTCCTCCAGCTCTTTCTGGGACTTTTGATAGACTTTAATCTTGTCGTTTAGCTCCATGTGTTTGTCCTCCCAGTCTTTAATCGTAGCCTTAAGCTGTGACAATTTGAAATTTCAATTACCGCTGATAAAAATGTTGAATTATAGACAAAATAAGACCTCTGGCAAAGGGCTTCAGTGATCAACAAATGTCAAACAAATCTACATATTGTCTTACGGTTTTGTTTTCATCCTTTAATGCAGCAAAATCTTTTTCACGACATTTGTGTTGAACGTTTCTGGCGTTTTCACGAATCTTTGCTTCATCCAGGAGAACAGTAGTCTACGGCAAAAACATACAGTTTATTAGATAAACTGAAATTAAAACCTTACAAAATAATTTGCAAGAATGTGTACCTTAGTGAGGGCTTCCTGAACCTTTTTCCAGCTCAGCTGCAGCTTTTCATTTGACTTCTCTAATTTTTCAATCTGTTAAAAAAAACAAAAAAAACAAAAACATTTAGCTCAATGCATCTAAGAAGATACTTCAGATAATAGCAAGGAGGGGGAAAAACACAACACTTACTCTAGTTTCATTTTGGAGAGAGTTTGCCTGCTCTTCTTTGAGCTGCTTTGCATATTTGTTCTTTTCCTCAGCCATGTGCTCATTTAGTGTTTCTGCCTCCAAAACCTTACTCTGCAAAAGGCAACATGAGAAACTTTACAATCTTTAATAAATGAGAATTTATTTTACTTGCTGTCAAGATAGCACACTTGCAATTCATAAGCATATATGAGCCACCTCCAGGCACAGTAAGTGTCCCAATAATTGTGAAAGACAAAGCCTAGAGCAAGCAAAAGGATCTTCAAATTTAAACATTCAGCACAGTACAAATGAATATCATAATTTTTGGACTATTGAGTACACTTGAATATAAGCCGCACCCACTAACTTTAAAAAAAAAAAAAAAAAAAGTACATAAATAGGCCGTACTTGTCTATAAGTCGCAGGTGTCCACGTAGTAACATGACATATTTACACAGAAAGATTTTTTTAAACTTTTAATTAAATACGTACTGGTAGCATACACAAATATGTACCGTAAATGCTTTTTATCTGAACAGTGAATGCAACACGGCTGGTTAAAAAATAAAAACTACAGTAGCCTACCAGGAAAAGTCATTGATCGCTATCTTTATCTTTCTCTTGCACACTAAAACCACTGAAAGTCATCTTCTTCAGTGTCAGAATTGAACAGCCTCAGAATTACTTCATTACACACTTGCTCAGTCTCTCTTTCACTGTCACTCTCAATGACACTTTCGTCTCCAGGCAAATTCATAAAAATCCATAAATTAGCCGCAGTGTTCAAAGTGTGTGGAAAAAGCAGCGGCTTACAGTCCGGAAATTACGGTACATAAAAAAAACAAAAACAAAACAACCAATTATTTCCTACTTCTTACCTCAAGGTCTTGCATCCTTTTCATTGTACAACTCACTGTTTCCTTTGACTGTTTCTGATTTTCTTTTAGTTGATCAGTCTTAAAAAAGAGGGAAAAATAAGTTTAAAGTGTTTTTCAAAGTAGCTTGTGACATTTGACATTTATATTTTGGCCTACCTGTCTCTGAAGTTCAGACATTTTGGCGAGAGCATCATTCTTCTCTTTTTTAAGTGCCTGGATTTGCTCTGTGAGTCCTTTTTCGTCCACTGTTTTCACAACACAACGCACACAATCAGTGACAGTGTAGACATCTGCATTTTGTAATGTAATGTGGAAAAAGGAGGTTTACACTTACCAAGGTATTCTCTCTTCTTTACCTAGAAAATTATTCAAAATAGAAAAACATGAATTTGATGTCTTTTCAAAACAGTTTGAAATAATTGTCATAGCATGGCCACCATGTGTAATGTAGCTTTATCATTAGAAACAGTGTATTAATATTCTTCAAAGACGATCAAAATGAGGATCTTGCATCACGTCAAACTCAATCCAAAGACAGTTGAACCCAGGTGGACATTTAACACAAGCAACTCAATTCACACTACCTCTTTAGATTCAAAACCACATCATATCTAAGCGTAAGCAAGTACTGTTAACATTTTATCTCTGTTGTTTTCACACCATAACACAGAGCTTGAGCAGAGATAAGGGCAGTAAAATCCCAATACTTACTGCCAACACAGTCCTCCAGAAGAATAGGATGAAGGTCACAACTCCAACTAAAGCAGTGATGACAACAGCTTGCCAAGGACAGCCAAACAAAGTTTCCCCTGGTTTCCACTCTTCTGGCAATAATGAAATCATCTGCAGACACAAAAACACAACCCCTGTGTTCATACTGAAAAATAAATGGTGCTGCAAAAAGATGGTTAAAGACTCTTTCCAGTTAGTGACTAAACCCCTAAAAACTCATCACCGAAAGGTTTTTCCATGAAAATAAGGCTTTCCTGCATAATATAGCTTGTCTATAACTCAACACGATCGCTTCCTTTGGGGTGTGCAGATCTATTAAGTTCCCGCCTCTCTCTCAAACCACTCCTTCCTTATCGCTGCAGGTTGAGCACACCGAATGCCTGTTCCATGAAGTCCAGCATCTGGCTTGAATGAGCCTAATAAATCAGTCAGGGCCAATGTGGTCAATTCAAGCTCATGCAATCAGGCTAATTTTATACAGGACAAAGTAGCTGAGATAACGGCAAGAAGTGGAACATAGATCAGATTGATCCACCAGGGAAAACAGCAGTAATACAGAGAGAGCAGCAATATTCAGGGTCACAGAGCAACAACTTCTATTACAAACACATGATTCAAACATCTACTAACCAAAGGTCATACAGCTGCCATAAGCAAAACCAGAATGAACAGCTGCCAAAGAAAAAAAAAAAAAAAAAGCTTAACAATTAAAAAAACTAGTAATCACGTCAAAATATAAAATAATATTTTTTGATGCAACTTAATTAAATGCAGTCAGGAGTCTTAACATGACATAACATAGTTTTACGATTTTTTTTGGGAATGTCTCTAAAAGATGGACAGTATACTTGTTTTGCCATACATTTCTATTTTTCAGTTTTTTTACCATATCACAGCTATGACAGTTCAGTGTATTTTTTAAAAATCGTTTCAAATGTATTAGAATCACTATCAGGAAAGTAGAAGAAAGCACATAGTTTTAGATATTACACTGTTGTTTTATAAAGCTTTTTTTTTTGCTATTAATTACTTACTGTTAGCTGATTATGTAGCTATTATTATTACTATATTGGGCCAGATAGAGACTTAATTTCTGAAGCATAAACCTAAATGTTTCATATCAGATACCCTTTAACTGCACATCTCCATAGGTCTACATTTTATGATTTAATATTGAATAATTTACTTAGGTTGATTTTTTTGTACTGAACCAGTTTTGAAGAATAATAATGATACAAAAAGCCCCAGCCTGCAGGCAGGGAAAGTTGGTTCATTAGGTTTGTTACACATAAATTTTTTTTTGTTTTAAATGATACTGCACTTGACGTAGACATCCTCAGCCATGGCTTTGACTGCTTATTTCAGTCATAATGTGTGACCTATAGCACATGAAAGGGAGGGCAAGTAAATAGTAACAACAATACTGCAGTTTGAAATGAGGTTAAGCCTCACGTCACCTTCCAATATTTTCATGTGCCTTAAGACAAAGACACTGTGGACTCACCAACCAAAATCTGATAAACAACAAAAGATATTTTAATGACTTAATGATGAGTGATTCCTCGTTCCCCTGCCCGCAAAAAGGGAAACAATATTACCAATACTACACTATTAGGCAGTGCATTTATGCCAGTCAACTATGCTAAAAATGGTTCATTTATTTATACAAAACACGAGTAGCCCACGATGCACAGCAAGGCAGTAAGTGGCAAAATTAATAAATTCTTTCCTTTTTCGGCAATCTGCCACTATCACTACCACGATAGAACTTCCATCCACTGATAAGGGCTTCTTAAATATTAAATTATTAAAACAATGACTGACAATATTGTCAAGGGTCATCTGTTGCTCTACTTCAGTGGAGTAGAAAAGCCATGTGTATGTTCAGCGTACTTCTGACTCCTGTGTTCAACTGGCTTCAGTGGATTACATTCATGTCCAGGTACAGCACGCAGAGCTGCACGTGCTGCTTAAACCACAAAGAAACCTTTGAACTAAGCATGTGGCTGTCAAGACACACTCCGTGTCTCTGGTGAAATGTTGGTTAACTCAGTCCCTACAAGAATGAAAACATTGTCTTTGGCCTGTTCAGAAAGTTCCATTTTAAAAGTCTAACTGCTCAATACAGCCTTGGCTTCTGTCTACAGACTGTAATCAGAGTCAGAAATCCACCAAAAAGGAACATGAAAGCGGAAGACGTACTGTCAACATCTAAAAAGTTTGGTGCGTAAATACAGGTCAAGTCACTTTTATTTAGACAGAAGGTTCAACAACGACAGGAGTTGACTCAAGGTGCTCTCAAGTCAAAGCACGTGGACTACCAATACAGACGTATACGAACAAAAGGAATTAGAAGTACGAATTCAGGAACAACAAACGCTTCAGTCAGTGTCCATCAGCCATACGCTCATCAACACGTCAGCAGGCCATGATAGCATAATTACTGCTTGACACTGGGGGTCAGTTGGATTTTTCACTTACGTGTTGCAGTTCTTTAAGAAAAAACAAGTAAACGTGCTCCGGTTCCATGACAGGTCGGGATAATGTCTCGCTCTCCATACCCGCGATTAAAAACAAAAACGGAACAGATATTTGCTAGCTTGCTAGCACGTTAGCAATTCTGAACTATACAGGTAAGCTAACGTTTGTTGACCGTTTGCATCAGAGTTCACGGCGTCCTAAAAATAAAAAAAATACGTCGTTACAAACACTGACAACGTTAAACAGTCGAGACAGGTGGTAAGTAGGAGTTGGCAATAACAGCCTGCTAACGGTAATTATAAGCGGTCGAATCCCATTCACCGCCGACGCTAGCTGTACGAGGGATTCAATTATCCAGTTTTAGCACAGCAAGCTATTAAAACGATGCGATACTTTGACAACCGAAAGTCTATATTGCGACGGCGTGTCTTAATAATTATCTGCCTATACATGCCAAAAGAAGGCCCACCGGTTGCACTAGAGGCTAGCCCAGCACCGGCTGTGTTGAACTACAGCCTAAACTGCAACAGTCAACAAGACAGGGGAGGGCCCGTGTAACGTTCAGGAAAAATCGGAAAGGTAGGGGAGGGCCCGTGTAACGTTCAGGAGAAATCGGAAAGGTTTCCTCACAGCGATATCGCGGTGAAACTGCGCCCCGCCTGGACAGACTGAAGACGGACAGCTGGCAGCAGCCTTCAGTTTGTACAGTAACTTACAGAAACACACTGATTTAATAAAATGTTCTCAGCGCATACAGGCAATCTGTGATCTCTGTTTATCGTTCATTCATTTTACATGCACTGTTCTGTAAATCAGCATCACATCAGTTTGGAACTGTACACGAAACAGGAGACCAAACCTGATCCTGTCAAACTATGATGCAAGGCTGGTTCGAGATGAGCCACACCTGTGCAGATTGGATTGGATCGACACACAATGCAATGTTAGAGCGACCACTGTTTATGATCTCCGTCAGGTGAACAGAGCAGTGGTCAGGATAATATATAGTGTATATTTGTACTTCAAAATGAAGTCACAGTAGAATGGGATGAGACTTTACAGATGTCAGATTGTTTTTTGTAAAGTACAAAATAGTGGTGGCACACAAAATAATACTATGCAATACAGACTGACATATATTCATATTGAATGTTGTATATACACCTTTGTCAGTCCTGCTGCTGACATAATTTGTATATTTCAGCTGTCCTTAAGCCCCTTTTGTGTCACAGGTGCGGAAAAGACTTCATTGAGGACACTGTGAGGATACACCTGAGCATCCTCGCTCAGAACACCTCAAGCAAGTCTCCTTACTCCTCAGGATGCATTTTAGGAAATGAGATGGCCTTTGTTATGATGCACGAAGATCAATTTCAGGGTCATGGACTGAAGGACTGGGGATCAGGGAATCGAGGGGGCTGAAATTACTGAAATGAGATGAGTCTTTGACCCCTACTCTGACGTCTGGCCAATGTAAGAAACAATAATAGTGTGAGATCAAGACTGCAGCGATCGCCAGTGATTGAATTACTGCATCATCTCAAACGAGCCTAATATTTAGGATGCAACTCTCCAACATTATATCTGTTGCACGAGGTTAATAAACTGAGGGTTGTACTTCTTGGGAGTGTTCGCTCTTCATTCACACACTAAGAAAAAAGTAATTATCGGAACAAAATAGAAAGATCTGTCATTAAACTATATGGTAAACAACTATAACATACAACTTGTGTGCATATTTTCTGATGTTTCCTTTTGAGAGGGGGAAGTCACTGTGAACAGTGTTCTTACAGACTCACCAATGCTGTATGCAGGGTTATCACAACCCAAACAAAGGGTAGGGTATCCCTACATTCAAGCAGACGAAGTAGGTTGTGTGAGACTATTGTCCTGCGTTAAAATAAATGGCCAGTCAACTCAAGTTCCAAATACTGCTGCAAAAACAGCTTAGAAAGTTTTACAACTATCTTTTAAAATTTTGCCAAATCACAGCGTTTATAGCAAGTATTGCATCATTGATTTTATAAATTTAAAGGGTCAGTGGTCAATGCAGTAAACTAAAAAGGGTTAGGCTGCACTTTATTGTGTATACAGTAGTTTTAAATTCTTAGACTTACCAAAATGGTCCACTCTGAAGTTTTATTCTTGATTACTGAAAGGATGCAGGCAGTGTAAACAATTCCAGTTGAGAACAGTCCCACTTCCTCTTCAGACATTTCAGATACGGGCTCCATTGAGTCCATAGAACCTTAAGGGAGTAAAGTTTGCGGGTTCATCAGTTTGTGTGTGTTGTGGATGGACAAAGTCAAAATCTTTCATTACAGTGAACAATCAAAACATCATAATGTAAAGGCAGAACCAAACAAGGCTTATTTAAGACTTTAATAAAAAAAATAAATAAAACTAAGGAAGCTTAACATGTTTGTTGACCATGAGAATGCTCTTTTGAAACCAACAGACCTGTTTTATTCTACCTAAATTCCAAAGTTCTCAATATAGCCAAGGATGTGTTCATAGAAATGTCAAAATTAAAGTGAGGGCTTGGTTCTTGTAATCAAAATCTGAAGCTAAGGGAAGAACAAGAACTGACATTAACTCTACCTGTTCTTGTTTTATTTGATTCACTGTGTCATAAAGGTAATTGCTCTATTTATTCCTAATGGTTTCAACATTTTACTAATTTAACTTTTTAATATTTTTATTGCTAATTTTTTTCACTTTTTTGGTGGAAACATACACCTTCTGTTTGTCTTCGTGTTGCTACTTTGCAAATTAGTTCTCTCCCTCAATGTAGCTCCAAATTTAAATAAAGGCAGATGGAAAAAACAAGACAAAACGTATTTAAAAAAAAAAAAAAAAAAAAAAATGTGATTACCAACCTGAGGGTGAATGCTCAACCTCAACACCAAGGCCTATTTCAAGGGGATGTTCCAGGGGGGCTTGAGAGACCTTTTGCATCTCATGTGAATCGCTGAAGCCTGGCTGATTGTCTTTGTTTTTATTGAAGTGTCCACCATCCTCCTCCACGCTGATGTCCAATCCAGTGGGTACCTTGTCCAAAACTACCGGCTCCTCTTGAATCTCAGTTGGCCTTTCTTCATGGTCTGTTACCGTGAGGTTGTTCTCGCTCGCGGTTTCAGGAATGCTGTCAAACTTTTCTTCAACAATAGGGGGTGTGTCCTCTTTACCATCTAATTCATGTTTATCTACAAGGCAAACAGAAAATTAAAAAGACGTGTAATTAAGACGTCAAGGTTATTTTTCAGGTCTGTTTATAAAAGGACTGTATTCCTGGTAGGGAATTTTGTTTTCTCTGTGAGGTGTGCATTTGTTAACAACTCAGGTTTCCTGTTGGTCAGGGTGATCACGTTTGACCAACAGATGGCAAGTATGATCTAATGATTTATTAGCAAAGTGATATTTGCAAAGGGCCTGTACCATCAGGAACCAGGGTCCTGCTTAGATATGGGATACATAACATTGCTGCATCAGACTGTTAAAGTGACAACTTCCTGTTACCAGACATGGGTCATGTTTACATTAATCTTCCGCACAGCTTCCTTATGACTTATCCACCACACTGATGAACAAAGCAACTTGTACGCGTGATACTTGTCATATATGTGAGATTGGAAAGGACACCTGATGTCCAACATGCATTCATGCATAATACCACATTAGGAAAGAAATCATTACATCTAAACTAATGGCAGCTCATCAAACTGTCAACAGCTAAGAGTCTAGTTTATTTATGAGTCCCTAAACAATAAAAATGCTGTCCATGTGTAATGATAATTTAACGACTACTTGACTGACAACGAAATAAAAATGTCCCGACAGCTTCGATGGAGCCCAGGGCTCAAGCTGAGGATGGCATTTATGTAACAAATTACATACATGCACCTGATAAACTGTGAGTTTTGGCTCACCGGGCTGATGGAAAGGAAAGTACACAAAGCGACTATTATGTTTATGGACCAACATTCGTGATGAAACGGGGAAAAAAAGCCTTCCCCACTTCACACTCACTCAATTACTTCACAAAACTCAAGGTGCATCATGAAATTATTACCTAGAACATTCAACGGAATTATGCCATGTTGAAAGTAATATGGATATGTTAGCAGGTCAGACCTCGTAAAATTGTAATTGCAACTTTTACTAAAAAGTGACCGAGATGCTCCTTTGCGACCACAATTCATTGATTTGTTGTTGGCAGGAAAGTGAATTCTATCACAGCAGGTTACCTGAGATGCATTCTGCGGCCAGGTGTGAACTACAATCCATTTTAACTCAATGAAGACATCACTGGATATATCTGGAAACAAACTGGTCTGAACTGGGCCTGAAATGGTAACAGAGCGCTGCATATTTTCTGTGCTGCACTATCAAATTCTGCATCCTCTTTGTCTGTGAATAAAAAGTACTGTACTTTGCAGAGCCTGTTACAGGCCCTATTATCAGAAAGCAGAATGTGCAATGCCATGTGACTCTACCAGACCCACAGAAGTCCATCCCATATGAGCGTTTGTGTTCACAAGTGACTCAAATTTAAAAAGAAAAAATAAAATAAAACCTACCTTGCTCAAACTCTGATGGTTTTCCTGTTGCTAATGGTGTACTGTCACTGGCTGTTGAATACTTCTGTCGTAGACTGAAAGCAAGCTCCTGAAAATCATCCAGTATTTCAGTTTCCTCATCCAAACTACTTGTGTCCATATGTTCATCATAGTTGCGTTTTCTGTCCGGGCTGTCAAGCATCTTCTCAGTCTCATCCAAGATAGCATTCTCTGAGGCTTCAAAGATACCCTCAAGCGCAATCTCAATGTCCTGCGTAGTCCCTGCATGTGTCAGACGGGTAGCCTGCAACTCTGTGTCCAGATCAGAGAACATGGCTTCCAATTTAAAGAGATTTTTCAAACCCAGAAGCTTTTGGACCCGCTCCATCTTTTCCTCTGTGAAGTGTTCCCTCAGCAGACTCAGTCTCATGACACTATCACTGTATTGTATCTCTGGAGTTGACACAGTGGGTAGACTAGTTTCAGGTGAAGTGTCTGACTGTGAGAAAAAAAGTGCATTTTCATCTTCAAGTAATTCTTCTCCCTCTTCCTCCATTGCAACAGCTTTCTCATCTTCTCTTTTCCCTGCATGTGGTTCCTCATGGACCTCTGGTTTCTCAATAGGTAGTTCTGTTTGACTGTTATTACTTTCTGAAAAAGCCATTGAATGTTTGTGTATTTCATTTGGCAGGCTGTCATCTGCTATATTTTCACCATCTTTGACCTCTGAAGGATCTGAGTTCCTCTCTTCAGTGAGCAGGTCCTGATCTTCTTTATTTTCAATGGCCAGCTCTTGATTGATACTTTTTCTGTTTTCATCTAATGCGTTGTCTAAATCTTGCTCTATTGCAACCCTGCTGTTCTGTGTATTTGCATTATCCTCTTTGACCTCTGAATCCATAGACATCCCCTCTATGTCCTCAGTGGGTTCCTGTGTTGTTTTACCATCAGATTTTTCAGACTCAGGGCTCCCTAAAGTGTCATCTTGTGATTCTGGATCTACTGATACTACATTCACTGTTGTTTGATGGTGTATCAGCTCATCAGTTAGTTTTAATGTTTCATCCCAAGCTTCCTCATGTCCTATCACTTCTCCATCATTCTCATTATCAAACAACAGCTTGTCAGACTGACTGTCACTTATTTCAGCATCTGACTGTACAGAGCTGGGATGAGAAGGATCTTGAAAGACTTGCTGGATGTTCTTAAACTCTTTTTGGATTTCTTTTGGTAGTGGCTCTCTCTGTGCTTCCTCAAAACCTTGCGGGGTTTTTGCAGGAGATTCTTCTTCCTGTTCCTCCTCCTCCTCCTCCTCCTCATCATCATCGTCCTCCTCTACATCCAAATCTTGTGATGTCATCTCTCCCCCAGTGACAACTGAAAATACAGCATCTCCAAGTGACGTCCACATGGTCTTCTCCTCCTCCTCCGATGTCTTTGGTATATCATCTTGTGTTGTTGGCAGAGTTTCCTCTTTTTTAAGAGAATCAGATGCCAGAGTGTTCACAGTTTCTTCAGAGAAAGACAACAGTGGAGTTTCCTCTTCAACATCAATAACATCTTCAGGAGGATTTTCCAACTCTTCGCTGTCATCATCCTCATATGGGGTAACTTTATTTGTGATTTCTTCTTCAGTGATGACAGCATCAAAAGTTGTTCCAAGGGTAGTTTTCACCTCAGGAATTTGCACTCCTTCAGACACCAAGACTGATTCTTTTTCTGAAACATCATCGACAGGCACATATTCCACTTCAGGCGTTGTGGGTGTGTCTTTGGTTTCACTCATTTCTGGCATCATTTCAGGAATTGACTGTGGTTCATGTTTTTGCTCAACTTCTTCTTCTTCTTGTTCTTCTGTAGCTCTTTCAGTAGCATCAGGTGTAGCTGCTGTATGGGCCTCTACTGCTTTATCATCAACTTTATTAAGATCCTCGGATTTATCATGGTGCTCAGTATGTTCTTCACTCTTGGATGCTTCCTCCTCTGATGGCTGTGTTTCTTTCTGTGTGCCCTCTGGCCCTTGGATTTGGTCAGATGTTCCAATGTTCTCAATATCATTCTTCTTCACTGACAAGTCTAAGAGCAAATCTACGTCGTAGTTGTCAAACTTGTCATATCCAGTGTCAAAACAGACAAAATCTGTTTCCTAAGAAGAAGTCAAAACATGAAAATATATAAAAAGGCATGGTAGTCACATTTCTAAATACTATTATGCTGCTAGTTCACATTTTCAAATGATTCAGATAATCTATGATATTTTCATACCTCTGCTGGAATTTCAAGTTCTTTGTCAGTATAAAGGTGGTTTACAGCAAGAAGGTCCTTTGGGAAATAGCCAAAGTGACTTCCGACCTATTGACAAGAAAAAATGTTGAGGATTTAACTAAATAAGCTAATCGATGTAGATGAAATCCAGTACTGAATAAATGTTCACTATAGGGTACTTACACTTCCAGCCCATATGTCAGCCCTTCTTCCTGACAGCTTGTAGTATACGTAAACTGTTTCAGATTTCTTGAACGACAGAAACCGACAATCAGGTCCAGAGAAATCTTTCACAGCTTTTCCCCGACACAGAAGCACTGGAAAGGCAAAACACAGTTTGTGTTATGGTTCAATTTTCAAATATTGCCCATTTTAGGAATGCAAAACTATGAGCAGGCAAGCTTTCAGAGGTGCATTCAGACAAGACCTAAACATGCACCTTTTTCATCTGTCAGTTGTTTTCTTGATTATTTGGTAATGCCTTGGTTTCAAGTATTATCAGAGAAATTCAAAAATGCTCATCAGAAATTCCCTGCATTTTTTTTTAAACTGATTGAATGTTTACTAAAATGACAGAAATATTTTTGCATCGTTTCCTGTCCATGCACTCTGACAGTTTTCTGCCCAATTGACAAGAAAAGATCCAACTATGCAGTATGCTTTCTATAATCTAAAATCATATGGTTGGAGTCCCATTTTAGGTCTCGTCTGTTTCTATCTCACATCTTCCGCAGCTGTGGAGCTTAGTTTCACGTGTTAATGTAATCTTTACTGTTTTATGAGGCCAAACTAGTCGTTAATAAAATGATTTCTTATCACCTACAGCAGACTCTTAGATAGAGGCTAACGCGTCTTTCCAGTGAATGTCGTCTATAATCAGCAACAGTCCCCAGTTTGCCATAGGTTTTCTTAAATCTAGCAATTCAAACTAAGATGCAAAGGTTAATCGTGTTAATTCTGTATCGCTTCATTGCCGAATGTTAAATTTACACTTGCTAAGCTAGTAATCCTTACGCAGTACTTTAGTTTGTCTCAAGCATCGTTACTGACGGGATGAGAAAAAGGTTAACAGTCAAGCTAATGCGGTTCAGAGTTCAGAGCAAACATGGCTTGTAGTTCAATAACAAACTTATATTCGTCCGAACAGACCGAGCCGGTCGCTGCATAATTAGCTGCTAACATTAGCTTCCACTCTCCAGCCAATAAAGCAGGCCGGAGCTGCCAGGCAACCGGCCAACACGGGCTACGTCTCAGCGAATAGCCCAACCAAGCTAATGAGTAACATTAACATTAGCTCGCACGGGTTTCACTGAGCACCACACCGCTAAACAGCATCAGGACAAAGGCGAACCAAGGTCGCAAATATCGACTGGCAACAGGTCAAGAGATAAGGCACAGTTTATGGCTAGCTGTAGTATCTGGATGGGAGAAGGCGCTTCTCTGTAGTCCTCTGAGAGCTAGTAGTTCCAAGTCAGCAAACTTACTGCTGCACTCCTCATCGGCGCATCTTTTAAAGTCTGAGAACCTTTTCTCAAAGACTGCGGTTGAAATAAAGTTAAATAAAAGTAATAAAAAGCCTTGTCGGTAGAAGTGTTTTGCTGCCATGCTGGCAGTTGTGTTGACTGGCTTTACTCCGCTGTTGGAGCATGAGCACTGGGCAGCAGGAGCCGACACGTCAGCAGATCAGATCCGGCTGGGTGTAGCACGTACAGCTCCTCACAGCAGGGACCTGAGCCTCAGCTGAGTGAGGCTGAACAGCTTCAAGTACATGCAGGGATAGCAGACTTTTCTGGTAATCTGTGAAGATTACTCGGGAATCAGCCTGGCGAACTTTCCTCAGTTTCCATGGACTAGAAACCAGGTGTTGTGTACCATGCGTGTTTGAATATTGGTAGAGCAGAGCACTCTGTGAACAACATTGTTAAAGAAAGAAAAAACTACAAGACACGTGAATAATGCTAACATTTAATACAGATATTCCTCCATTTTGTCAAAGAAACAAAAAACTGAACATACTTAAAGTCCAAAAGTTAAGCCAGTGATGTCTTGTGGCTCATCATGATTGTGTTTTACCACTGGTCAGCACAAAATGTTGAGTCGTTGGACACAGTCACAGACCAAAAAATGAAACATTTGTTTGTAAGATGATGAAGCCGTTTCACAGCAAATACTCTGACTTGTCATAGTATTCCATCATGTGGCTCAAGAAACCACAACTGCATAAAGTAAGGAAATCCTCAGACTGGAACATGGCTACCATTACTACACCAGTATGTTATTATTATGTTTTCATAAAAAAAAAAAAATCATAAATTTCATAAATTCATTATTGAATTTCCCTTCTGGGATAAATAAAGTATTTTTCATTTCATAAATTCAGTCGATTCTTTTAAACATTGGAGACAAAGTATTTGTTGTTCCAACACACAGAATCTCTACAACAGCGTGAACAACGTACAACATCCAAGTATGACCATATTGGATGATAAGGATAATGAGTAGCTGGAAAGTGGGGTCATAGAGCGTGTTGTCAGACTTGCTGATTCAGAGCTGTCTGAAATGATATCTTGGACAAAAGTGGTGGATGTTCAAATCCCCTGTTTCGGTCCTAATGGACATACCAGCATGCAGCATGCCAAGAGCCCATTCTTGTCTTTATCTTGTCATCTGTGGCATCATGTCATATGCATTTTATTAGTTACTGGTCAAAGGAGTGTCTGTGTACTGATCACTGTCTCTGATCATTGTCTTTTGAAGCCACGTCGGACGAGGCTGTGGATTAACTCAGTGGTCAAGAACTTGTCACCAGTTTAACGGTTCAAAAACTTTTCGTCAGTTGGTTAAATGGAACCCATCTCTAACCAGACCAATCAAAATTAAATTTTTAACATTTTCTCTTTGTCAAAAAAGAAGAACACTGCATTTATACTTTTGTGGAATGTAAATTAGATCATCAACGCCAGTGGAAAATTAGCATCACAGCAGCAAAGTCACACATAAATCATACATTAGAAAACTAAGAGGTTCGCGACACAGGCAAGCAACACAAACATTCGTGTTGAAAGCGAGAGTGAGTGAAAGAAGCCATGAGAAGGAGATACATGCACAAAGAGGAAGGGATGAAACAGACAAAGTGAACCAAATTTCATGATCAGATATCATAGAGAGTAAACTAATACAAAACTGACAGTGGGAAAAACTGATCCTGTTTACTATCTGTGCAATTAATTGTGCCAATCAAGTCAAACACAAAACTGAAATAGTCAAAATAATTGTGAAGGGAGCTGAGACGTTATGGACTGTTCAAATGAATGTTGGGAGCATATCAGTAAAGGACTAGAAGCAGGTGGGAAAGCAGGAGGTCTGCGGCGGAATGCTAGAAGTTTAATAGTAAATGGTCAAGTGTTTAAATGATTCATTAAAGCTCCTGAAAAGAAACCATAAATGTGTTCAAGAAACTAGTGTGAGATCAATAGCCATCATTAGACTTTGTTATTAAAGGCAACGACTGCATTTGTAGAGATAAAGGCGAGAGTAGTGGACAAGGGTGCACAAGGGTTTAAAGGCTATGAATACCATTTAGAGTTTTGGTAAAAGGAATGGAGTTGGGTAATATAATAAGTAACATTTTCATGAAAGTTAAAGTCCCTGTAAGAGGCTTTAAATAGAATTAATAGATGAATCCACTGTACTTTCAGTAGGGAAACTGATAGGGTGTGGTGATTGTACAGCCCATATAATGTTACAGGTAAACTAAAATGACAGTGTAATGGTGGGAAAAAAAAAATCAAGGAGATTAAACATCTAGGGTTTCTAAACAAAATACTTATACAATATTTAATATCATAAAAGACAGAATTGGCTGTTGATCTCACATGGTCAGAATGATTGGTGGGTGCTAGCTCATGGGAAGTAGTTAAAAAGACAGGCTGTAGGAAATGACCAGTACCCTACTGTGACTGAAGTGGGCTTACAGGAAAGGGGGCTTTCAGTGGTGCTGATTTGGGGAAATATGGGGATATTAGTGATGAAGAAATGCAGAAAATTGATATTAGTGAAGATGTTTATTAAGTAAATGTTCTGTTTGTATGCTATTGTAGCAGCTGCAAACTAGTGTATCCAGAAGAAGGAAATAAGGGCAGAAAGAAGACCACCTCATTCAGATAGCAGAGCAGGCAGTTCAGGTCATACAGTAATATTTTTATAGGTACCAACACATATTGACATTACATGAAATTAAACAGCAAATAAGGTGACAAAGAAAGCCACAAAAACTCTTCACATTGATTTGGCAGTTAGCCTCAGCCGGTCAGAAATCAAGTGAATTAGAAAGCAGAAACTGAAGGAGGGGTGGCAAAAACTGCAGGAAGAAGAGGACAGGAGATTTTAAAGGAAAGATGGAGAAATGAAGCCTGCAGGAAGGAGCAGGAGGGTTGATATTAACATCAAGACTTGATTTGGCATCAAGATTTGGACACACAGGACTAAACAGTACACTGATCAAAATAGGTAAACATAATACAATGTAGATGTGACCACCATGGAAGAAAAAAACAACAGAGACCACAAAAAAAGCACCTAATCGAAAATCTCAGAAAGATAAAAGCACACTTCTTCTACAAAAGAACACAAGAAATTAGCGTTATCAATTCATATTTCAGTATCTCAGATTGATTAAACTGATTAATATGTTGTGTTTGTTTTTTAAATGTTGTAAATAATGGACATTCTGAACCACACTTGCCAGTTGGGAGCAGTAATGCACCAATTTGATGATGAAGAGAAGAAGAATTACCAGCAACAGCAGACGAAGAAGAAAGAAAGCAGTGAAATTAGTCGTCAGGTTAATGAGTTTGTGGCTTTTAATAAAGATTCCTTTTATCATATTTTTACAGACGGGTCTAGAGATCCAGGTTGAGGAAAAGCTGGTTTTGGGGTGTATATAATGAACAATGA